GTCTTCTTAGGATTCACAGAGAGTCTTTGTTCGTCACACCAAGTCTCTATCAGTTTGAGAGCTACTTGCATCCTGTCAAACAGCACGTTTATATACTTGCCTTTGACGAGAATGGTTAAATCATCTGCGTAACCAACTGTGATAAAGTTGGCTTCGGCGAGGCGGTTCAAGAGGCTATCCAGGGTGAGGTTCCACAAAAGTGGGGATAGTACACCCCCTTGTGGACAGCCTCGAGTAACTCCTCCTTGAAGACTGACATCGCCAGCCCTAAGCTTAACTATCCTATGTTTAAGAGTGTTCTCAATCCAACCACAAAGAGTCGGTGGAACATTATGCTCTAACAAGGCATCGTTAATACCAGAGAAAGTTGTTTTATCAAAAGCTCCCTCTATATCTACGAAAACCCCCAGGGCGGACTCCTTTAGGTCCAGCGCCCCACCAACAAAGCATGTATTCTTCTAATGGATAGCATTCTTTTTTTGCAAGTTGAATTTCTTTGTAAGAAGGAAATCGCAATGGATCTTTCTTGCGTATTTTATTATATTGCTCTTTGGTAAGAGTGGCATCAACAAATAAAGAAAGTGCTTCGCTTCGTGGAAGTTTTTGAGGAATTACACCTTCTAGGGATTTTCGGTATGCAGACTTGTACCTACATCGTAAAAGGTATAGTATAAAAAAATGAAAAGAAAATATTTTTACTATTGTTTTTAACCCAGATAAAAAATCATCTAATAGATAAGTTTTTATATCTGGGTTAATACATCTTAATCAGGTGAATGAACAAAACAACTATACTTGCTGGCTCGCGCTGGAGACGTGGTTGTTATATCTTTCAGTACGCTTGCAGCATCGCTCAATCCAGATGAACGAAGACTCATCTGAGCCGCATAAACCAGCTCATCAGAATCATGGGAAGCACGTATTATTTCGGTTTTTTGCCGTTTGGATCTTTCACATACATCCGCAAAAGATTTTGTTGGTCTTCGTAACTTTTTCTGCCCCGGTTCTTTACAATAAATAGCAAATCCTATGGAAGTATTTAGCCAATTCTCATTTTCCTTCAAAAATCTATCTTCTTTTCTTTGAGACTTTTGCCATCTACTTTTAAAATCCGATGCAAAATGAGAAACGGTCTTTTTCATTTCTGGAGTAATATCCATATCCATAGGATATTTCGTGAAGTTTTTAATGTACTGTTTCAGTGAGTTCAGTTGTTAATCCAAATTTTTCTCATGAGAACTCCTCATTTCGTAAACGAGAGTACGTCGTAGGACAGAGATAAATAAACCGGATGCTAAATAATTAAACAAAATCGTTTTATAGTATACTGTCTTTTAAGATGAGTATTTTGGAACACATTAATTTATTCCCATGTTCATTTTTAAATTGAATCCTTTTAAACAATACATTTAAAACATAGCGATAAGTATATTTTGAATTTAGTATCTAACATGGCATTATTAATTATAGCGTTGCATGTTGTTCCGTGTTCCGTAAGAAAAGAAAGTCCGTAGATATTTGTTTATATAAAATGGCGCAAATATGCGCAAACTTTTTTGATTGATTATGAAACTACATTAGTCACTTTATGTTATAGAGGAAAAATTTTGACCGGATATCATCCGGAAGGTTATCAAAAGTCAACCTTAACATTTTCTTATACGTCAGTACTTATAAAATTAAAATTATAGTAAAAAGGTAAACAACTAAAACCTTTAGGTTGATTTTCCATCGCAAAATAAATAATAATAATAAATCGCCACACAAAGAAATTATATAAAAATAGTTTGAAACCTCTATATAATTTTTACTGATTTGTAATAAGTCAAACTTTCTACTGTTATATCCGGAGCACCAGCGATTCCTTTGATATTTTTATTGTTGAGTAGGGTAGTTAGGTTATGTACCTGCATGTTGTCATAGAAAATTGGCCATAAATATGAATTATATTTTTCGACTTTTTTCCAACTTTTCATTGCTTTGGCCCCACTGTGCGTCGGCTAGAGCATAATTACAGTACTCGTGTGATTACATGACTCGGTCTACGACCTCGTCGTGCAATTCTCCACACTCGTACAGTAATTATGTTTCTAGCCCACTTGTAATATAAATAACTATTATCTACGACTGCTTGGATAAGTCATCATTACCGCACTCATTTGAGATGATTTGAGTTACGTAATGAAGTTCATTACCGCACTGGTTTCATTACGTAACGCATTTTTAGCCTAATCAGAACAGACTTAATTTATTGAAACGAGCAACAATACAAAAGAAAAAGTGCTATCTACTTACAGAGAAACAATACTATTTATTATAAACATTAATTGTTATGTTTTTACATTTCAAAACACTTATTCCAGATGAGTAAACATGTTGTTGAAACTGACAATTTAAAATTGTCAACAATCATTTCAAAATATTTTTATAAATGTCAAATAGACTTTTTTAAAGAAATTGATTGATATACCTCGATACCTCGGTCTACGACCTCGTCGTGCAATTCTCCACGCTCGTACTGTAATTATGTTTCTAGCCCACTTGTAATATAAATAACTATTATGGCTCAATAAACTGTTTATTATTATTATTATTATGTTCATAATATCTCGTATTTTCTGGTTGGTGACTTTTCCTATTCTAGATCTTGTTGCCACTCTTCTTTAATAATTTCCGTCAGCAGCATCCTTCTTTCATCACTTATATTCATCTGCCACACTTCACACCCGTAGGTAACTATGGTGTTAAAGCTGGTGTTATGTATGTATCGAATATTTCCTGTTGATACATCTCTCCTCTACAGTACTAGGTTTAGCATACTGATAGTTGCCTTTTCCTTATTTTCCTTATTTATTTGGTCTTTTTTTCTGTGTTTTACATTATGATGGAAAATATGCTTGTACAACATTCTCGTCGTTCACTAGTAGATCTTCGTTGTTTCCTTTTACACACAAATATGTACTTAGTTTTCTGAAAAGTTTATTTCTAGTCCCTACTGCCTACATTCTTGCCTTAGCTTTTTAAATATGTAATTTATATTTTCTCTATCATGGGGCATTACTATCTGGTAATCTGCGTAATGAAACGTATATAGCTGTCCCTGCTCTATTTCCATATTCTCGCACTTCCTTTTCCACTGTCCCCATCTCGGTAGATTCTGCACAGACTAGACACAGCACCACTGGCGGAGTCCTTTATTAGTTTTAAATAGCTTTCCGAAGTTGTCACCATATTTTACTTATGCGTTTTATATAATTCCTGCAACGCTTTTATGAAGGTCTGGTTTATATTTGTTGTTTCAAGTATTTCTCGCATTTTTTTTAAACAATTTCAATATATTCAACCATTAGACCTAAAAAAATGCTTTGTAACAGTTTAAATTTTATCTATTGTAATAAATTCATAGAAACTAAACGTAATCTTTACGAAATTATTCTGAATTTCTTTCTGCATTTAAAGAAATGATTTACACTTAATTAAAGCTATAAGATTCCTTTGAAATGATATATAACTTAATAAGCTTTTATTTGGAAATATAACTTATAAATTTAAAACCGACATTTTAACCTTATTGCTAAATACCTAAAAACTGAAGGTAAATTAAAAAAATATATTTTAACCATAATAAGGTATCTTCATTAAAGTTTTAAACTTTAAATTATTAATTTAAACATTTTATGCAAAAATAAATAGATAGATATACCTAGACATAGATTTGTCGACCATGTCACAAGTTGTAGACATATTAACCTAGATTTTTGCACTCACTATTCTTCACGGTTTAGTTACCAAACCGGCGACGGTCAATCGGCTCAAGCTCAAGGCTACTTGAAAAACGCCGGAGTTAAAGATTCCGAAGCTGAAGTTTCCCAAGGATCCTATTCGTACACGGCCCCCGATGGAACTCCGATCACTGTTACTTGGGTCGCCGATGAGAATGGTTTCAGAGCTGAAGGAGCTCATCTACCTACACCACCACCAATTCCGGAAGCCATCCAACGATCCCTGGCTATCATCGCGCAACAACCACAACGATATCAAAACAACGATGCTTTTCAAAGAAATCGATACAATTTTTAAAAATACTAATCAAAAATATAATCAGGATACGATTAAATAAAAATTAAATAAAAAAATAATTAGTGTTAAGAGATTCTTTTAAATATATTTGATGTTATCAAACAAAATTGTTTTTTTTATGTATTACATATTTTATTTTCAGCTTCATTTCAAATTTCATGTCTATAAGTTGTAATCGTGTTTAAACGATGTTTTAAACTCGTTTTTTTAATTCTCCACATCGAGTTAAGTTACGTATTGAAACAACAACAATCACGTTTCATGCTATTACAATTTCCTTTTCTTTAACGGGATAAAGGTCAGGTTAGGATTGGTTGGATTCTCGTGTTACCTGTTCTGGAATGTTCTCATGCTGTTTGCATCCGCCGTGATTTTTCGCGATTGCCACCTAAGTTACCGTCGCGATCGTAACAACACGGCCGCGGTCGGCGTCTCTTTCATTTGAATCTTTCATCTTGGGCAAGAAGAAGCACGATCTCGCACAGAGCAGAAGAAGTGCAAAGTGCGCAAGAGATGTGGGTGTGTAGACACATCTCAAAACGATGAAGAACCTTTCAGAGTCATTCTGCCTTTCAGCTTTTATGCAGCTCTCGAAAGATCAACCTCGAAACGATCTGATTAGAAAATTTTAATCAATATGAGAGTAAATCAATTAACAATTTTGAAAGTGAAAAAAATATTAGGATTTTTATTTATTTATATACATTTTTAAAAACTTACCGGGGTGATGTGAAATTACTTTATAAACAAACTTAATACATGAAAATTATTTACTATAAATCGCAAAATCATACCGTTTACGACGATTTTTCTTATTAAACTAATTATACAACTCATTGTATGAACATTGTTTATAATGAATTAGAAAATAATAATCCATTAAACGAAAATCTCCAAAATCACAAAATTGAGGACTTTTGTTATCAAAAAAAATCAATAAAGTAAATTGATATTCATTAAAATTGTTCATAATGAATTAGAAATTCATAAACCATAATCGTTTCCAACTTAGCTATGATCAAAGTTTAAGTTGATAGCTGAATCTGCAAAATCCGAAAATGGTCGAATTTTGCTATACTAGATTACAACTCAAGAACCAAAATCGACGGAAGATACTTTCGGATAATAACCCTAAAACTAAAACCGTTGGAACAAAAGGGTAGATTTGCTAGAGAATTATAATAAGACAAAGGAAAATCTGAGGATGAAACTGAAACAGAAGTTCCGTACATGTATACGTATCAAATACAATTTTTAAAAGACACTTTGCCATACTGCGTTACAATTCTTTTAAAGAAACAACAATGTCTGACGAAGAACCAGGGCTTTCTATGGACACGTTTCCTGGTCTAGTTTCGAATACTAACTACAACATCTATCCACACAACCAATTAATCGCAGCAACAAGATTCATACAAAACCAATATAACACTATGTAATTATTATACATTAGGAACAACAAATGTAAATTCCGATTTCATCACAGATATGTCTAAAGCACATATCTCCAAAATTTAAAAAATCCTAATTCAAAAATTAAAATTGTTTGAAGTTGTTTCTAATTTAACAATGACGATAATCTAAGTACAAGACGAGTTCTCGAAAACTTTTATGAGTGCAATTCGTTTGTACTTCTCACTCATTATCTATTGCTTCTTTTAGTCTGAACGAGCAAGAGATTAACTTCTCTACTACGCGTTTTCCACTACGCGGGTCAACGTTGAAGTGAAATAAAACAACCCATGTATATTAATGGAACTATTTTTTCATTTGAAAGGCCTATATATACCACTATGTATGGAAAATGACATAGTTCGCGTCCCGTCGCGCCTGCGCACGGTGTCATGGATTCAAAAGGTCCAATGATTTAATGATTCTGCCGTATAGATTCCACTGAATTTGAGCAATGGCATCAGTCGATTGCGAATTATTGGCAAAGACCTGTGATTGTAGAAAAAGCTATAAGAAAACTCTATATTGAAATCATATGATCTTGGTTGCCAATTCACGTTCATGCAGAATATCTATTGTGGCATTCGCTGCATGGCACATAGCGTCGTCCTGCTAGAATCGGTTACCATTGATTTGTAGGGCTCGCCGTAGACGGCGATGGTCTCAGCAACGTCGTTTTCGAAGAAGTATGGACCAACCATTGCCACCTGGTGAAACTCATGTAGGTTGGCGTCGACCCATATACGGCAAGTTTATTTGTTAACATAGCCATTTGATTAAGCGCCTATCATTATTATTATTATTATTATTTACAATTTATTGCCACAAATAAGAATACAAAATTACATAAGGTACACAAGGTAATATACACAAGAAGAAAAAACAATGAAAAAAAAAATTAATAAGAAGAAAAATATATACATAAAATCCCATTGTCGATTGTTAGTCGAGCAATGGATAAACTTAAACTTGTCAGTTAAGTCTTAACAGTATAAGCAGTATCAGCAAATGATTATCTAGGATTCTAAGGAGTGGTTCCTTCTCGCATGATCCAGGCATACTAGGCATTTAGGCCCCTGTATTCAATATGTTCATTCAACACAATTACGATTTCGCAAAACCACTGTGTAACATATTTATCAACATCTTGCACACAACCTAAACGCTTTTAATTTCAAGATATAGAGTATATACAACGATATATAGTTTGATAGAGTCGATTATTATTTGACCTATGTTCCAAAGCAGGCGATGCTGTGTACTAAAAAGCTATAAATCGGAACTATCAGAAATCAGAACAAGTTATTTTAATTGTGGTCTGGGACTGTGTATCGACTGCAGTTTTATTAAGTCCCCATCCGTTCTTCGATAATATATTTTTGTCTTGTCGAAATCAATTTTATGATAGCGTCCCATATGGTGTTGCTCTGGCATAATATATGCTATAATATCTAGAATCGCTAGGGCACCTGGTGGTAGATTGATATTTATTTAGTAATGTTAATTGCCAATGTGTCTCTTTGTCCAATGTGACAAAACATTTTCAGCGAAAATGCAAATCTACCTATTAATAGAAATGTTGTTATGAAAGGTGAACAACAAAATATAGAACAAGCATTAATTGAAGGAGAATTCTTCTTAGATCTTACAAATGTCTAACCGTCCTTTACCAGCACTTGGTGCAGAAGCAATAGGCTCAGCACCAATACAAACAAAATCGAAATAGTCTCTTTCACTCGGAGAAGGAAGCTACAATTGAGAGCACCCTCCATTAAAAGAACTATTAACCTCAAAACAGAAGTTAAATAGCTAGGGGTAATATTACACAGTAAATTAAACCGGAACTCCCACATAGGCAAGGTGAGGAAAAAGGCCGTTATGGCTAACCAGATCTGCCGCAGGCTCCTCTTAAGGAACTGGGGTCTTAAACCACGAATGGCTCATTGGGCCTACGTAGCAATAATCAGACCCATGCTCGCCTATACCTCACTGATTTGGTGGCAAAAAACAAATAATAAGATAGCACAACAACAGCTGGCATAATTCCAGCGGTTAGCATGTCTTAATATAACGGGTGCAATGAGATCTATTCCGAAGGACCATGTCTAAATCACTTGATTGAAGTTAAAACGGATCCTATACCGACAGAAAACAATTTCGAACAGCCGTATAAGGTCATATTTAGAAGCAGGGATGATTGGATGAAGGGAAAATGAAACAACGAAATACAAAATAAATTTTTAATGGATTAGAAGAAACATAATCCATAACCGGTTGTAACCTAGCTGTCACCACAATAAATGTGTAAACGAAAATGCCCGTATTTTCAAAACACATATTTCGATTAATTAAAATTGCCTATAACTCGGAAATAAGAACAAGTGGTGGAAAAATGTTATCCATAAAAAATGTTTGTTCCGAAATGGAACATTATCCATAATTAGTATGAACCTATCTAAGACTGTTATCTTGATATCAACCAGAAGTCTCAGCAATCTTAAGATTGTTGTTAGTTAATCCCAGCAATCTTCAATTTAATAAAATCGGTTATAACTCAAATATAATAATAAAGGAAAAGAAGTTTTGTGTAATACATTATTTCAATGGACTGGTAAAATATAATCCATAACCGGTTGTAACCTAGCTATGATCACAATAAATGTGTAAAGCGAAAATGCCAATATTTTCAAAATATATGATTGGTTTCAATAAAATTGGTTATAACTCGGAAGTGATTTTATTTCCTAGTTACATTACATCACACTAATTACATATCGGGTAGGCGCATCCGCATATATTTTAACGTAGCTCCGTTACAACAAAATTAGCAATTGCTAATTACTATTTATTACAATAGAAATATTATTTTCATTAAAATTTTAGTACGTAACTTTTTTCAGTAACTCCGCATCCGTTAAATCCGCATCTTAACACTACTCTTAACGAACATTACATACCTTATTCGGTGAAAAGTAATTCAGATCCTTTGGGGAGATAAACTGCGATCCAAAAAATCTGATACGATTAACAGCAAGGCAGTGACATAAAACATGCTTAACCGTCTTCTCGTCCTCCGCACATAGTCGGCATTCACCATCATCGGTTAGCCCCAACAAGTTGAGGTGTGTTTTTAATCGGCAGTGCCTAGTAAAGACATCAATTAGAACTTTGCTGCTACGAGCTAGTCCTAAAATATTCCCGGGTTTAATAGTGGCGATGTTAATAAACACCTTAGCATGCACATTCCACGAGTCTCTCTTCAGCTCACACTCCAATCTTATGTATGGCCATCGCAAATGATATACTAAGAGTGACCTGGGATCCAAAAGAGGGACCCAGATCAGAGACACTCTGTTATCACAATTCAGTGTGTTTAATATTCTTTTACAGTCATTAATCAGAGCCGACAACGTTTTCATGGCCTGCAGCGGTTGGAGAGCGGCTTGACTATCTGAGAAAGTACTCAAGAAGGATGTTGGCACAATGGTCAATAGCAAACACTTCCGCCTGGAATATAGTACAGTACGTACCCAGGTTGTAAGCTTGCTTAATCCGAGGTGTTTAGCAGTATACTCCTGCTCCGACCCCTTCCGACGTTTTTGATCCATCTGTGAACATGCAAATATCTGCCTGAACCAGAAATTTTTCGTTTTCGATCCAGGACTGCCGTTCAGGCAGTACAACCTGGTATAGGTAAGCACTGATAGTGATCCTGCCAAATCTGACTGTATTCATATCAGTGCTTATAATGTCTTCCGCAGCCCATAGGTAGAATATCTAGGAACAATTTTCAGCATATTGCTTATATCTGTACAAGATAGTTCTAGCCACTTTCTCTATACGCAAATGCAAAGTAGATAGGCCAAGTAGAACATTCATTGCTAGAGTTGGCGTTGTGCTTATCGCACCAGAGATTGCCAATCCAGCTACTCGTTGAATTCGTGAAAGTTTACTGATAACTGAAGTCTGTCGGAGTTTCCTATACCAGGCTGCTGCTCATTTCCTAGTTATAAGCAATAGGAGAAAAATATTGTGCATAAAAAATATTTCTGATGAAATGATAAAATCGTTGTATAATGGTTGTCTAGATAGTAAGTAGAAATCCCAAAAATCTATAAACGCAGTTTTTGCGGTTTAAATCGTTTATAACTCAAATAGGAAAAAATTCTCTATAGAATATTGTTTATAATGGACTAGAAAAACATAATTCACAACCGGTTATAACCTAGCTGTTTCCATTATTAATGTGTAAAGCGAAGGTTCCAGATATTTACAAAATACATGCCTACTTTAAATAAAATTGTTTATTACTCGAAAATAAAAACAAGTAGTGGAAAAAGTTATCCATAAAAAATGTTTGCGATGAAATGGTAAAACATTATCCATAATCAGTCTGAAACTAGTTACGATCGTTATCTAGATAGCAAGCAAAATTTCGAAAATCTCAAAACGAGCAACTTTTGTTATTAAAATGGGCTATAACTCAAATATAATAATATTTAAATATAATATCAATATATAATTTCAAAATACACGATTGGCTTTATTAATAAATATGATACATGGTTTTATTATAAAATTGCTTGTTTCTCGAAATTAAGAACAAATAGTAGGTAAAGTTATCCATAAAAAATGTGTGTGATAAATTGGAAAAACATGGTCATAATCAGTATAAACTTACCTAAGATCGTTATCTATAGCAAGCGGAAGTTCTGAAAATCTCAAAACAAAAAATTATTTAAATATATTGCAAAAATATCGAAAATCTTAAACTGAAATGTCGGGCAGAAAGACTATAGTCGATAGCCAACGTTCAGCGCAATGTTATTTTCTTCTTTTTTTTCTATATAGGTACATATATTTTCTTTTTTGTTGTAGTTATATTAATTTGTATTTAAGGTTGACCTAAATAAAAATTGTTCTCTCTCTTAAACTGAAAAATACTGTTTAAAAAATTTGTCGTAATAAATTGTGATGTTCAACATGAGCATTTTCTTACTATAAAAATCGATTATTACTCAAATATAAAATATAATAATCAGAAGGACCAGAAAAAGCATTGTTTTTATTCTAATTTACATTACAATAACTGGTCGACATGGATCAAACCTCCTCATTTAATTCAAATATAAAACCCAATGGAAAAGAACATAAAAGTTGTTTATAATAAACCAAACAAATATAATTCCTAACTGGTTAAAAAATAGCTACCATTATCTAGGTATTATACAAAAATATCGAAATTCTCAAGACGTAACAATTATTAGAAATAATCTTGAAATATTTTAAAATATATCTTTTTAAGTCTTACTGGATAGTTTCTAAATAATCGTAAATCAAATATGAGCTCAATGTCGTCCGGTTACAACATAAAGGAGACGCATCTTCGCTGATCACTAAACCAAACACCATCTCGTTCTTTTTCCTTTTCAGGGGAATTGAGCTCAATGAAATTCGAGTTTCACTCAATATACCGATAATTCTCTTAAATTCAATTCATCATAACCAGTTACAAACAGTTAAACTATACATTACAGAAATTTTACGTTTAATAATTGTATCAAGGATGTTTTATAATAAATTTTATCTTACTTATTAATATTTCGTGAATCCAATCAGCATTTGTACCAAAAATAATTGATTAAAGTTACACGTCATCTTAATTAAATTTACTGAAATCTAGATAAATGAACAAGTCCTGATTTACAACAGACTGTTTGTAAAAGAACCTGCCTTATTAAGTTTTTTTCCTTCGTTATTTTTCTACGTCAATAGCATTAACAATTCCTGACCACTGGTTTCAGATCCTTAAAAGTCCTCTTAGCAGAAAAAAAAACGTTCGGTAATCACCACACGACACACACATTTGCCATAGTTCTTCGTCGTGGCCCTGCAATTGCATTTTCACTATTCTTCTTCTTCTTTCTAATGTGGTCCGATATGTGTCTTCGACGGTCACGTCTTTTACGTTGTTGGGTGGGAAGGGAGGATGGGTGCATCTTCTTCTTTTGCTCTCGATTTAATCCTATATAAAGGGGAAAATGTTATTCGATTGTCACACTCAGTTCACCGCCGGAGGCTTCTCAATAAAGCGAGGAGACATCATTTAAACTGGACATCACCAACATGAAATTGGTAAGATCATATTACATTTTCAATTGTTGATGTTTTATAACAAGTTCATTAAATAATTTTCTAATAATTTTATTTAATTAATAATTAATAAGAAAAAAAATGTTGTGTGTATTTTTAGGTGCTCTTTGTAGCACTCATAGGTGTGATACAAGCGGCTCGCTTAGAAAACACTTACCTACCACCAGCAGGCGCTGGTTCTTCAGGTGGTGGTCCAGGACTTTCAACTCCTTTTGGCGCAGGCGGTGGCGGAGGAGGAGGTGGAGGAAGACCGGGTGCAGGTGGATTTGGTAACTTATAAAACGATTAATCAAATTTTTTACGTCTATACTTAAAACTGTTAACAATTAATTATTTAGTTCCCAGAATCAATTAAGAATTACGCATTATCGCAACGCTCTCAATAATTGCCAATACAAATTAATTCCAAAGAATGTTTTTACTAGTTTGTACTGATCTTTTTCGTTGAAAGCGTCGTTGTTGTTAGGTCACGTCTATTAAATGAATTATTCGAATTCCGAGTTAACATAATCAAACCAAGTCGCGTGCCTGATCATGGCCACTAAAGGAAATTGATTGGGAAATTTCAATAAAAACAAGTCTCATTAACAAAATCTAAATATAGAAAAGAACGTTTTAAAATTACGTTTGAACGGTTACTTTAGGTAGACCAGGTGGTAATGGCGGTGGAAGACCTGGAGGTGGTGGCGGCGACGATGCAAGCGCAACCATCATATCTTATGAAAATGTAAATAATGGTGACGGAAGTTACAAGTTCAGGTAGGCATTTTAAATTAACTGTATTTAGTTTTTATTATTTCGTATCTTTATTTCTTAAGTTATGAAACGTCAAATGGAATTAAAGCGGAAGAGGAAGGTGAATTGAAAAATGCGGGATCAGATAACGAAATTCAAAGCGCCGTTGGTTCGTACAGTTATACGGGACCAGATGGTCAAGAAATAAAAATAACTTATACTGCCGATGAGAACGGTTTTGTTCCACAAGGCGCTCATTTACCGACTCCTCCACCGATTCCGGATGAAATCTTAAAATCATTAGAGCAAAATGCAGCTGAAGAAGCTGGTGGTGGTGGCGGAGGAGGAGGTGGTGGTGGAGGTGGTGGTGGTGGTGGATTTGGACGGCCCGGAAATGGAAATGGAAACGGTAAACCCGGATTTAGTCCTTCAAACGGTTACAGTTATTAAAAAAATTAATACAACATGAACTTAATCGAAATGGACTCTAGATTTTTTGCTATGTATAACGGACAAAGAGAAAAAATAATGATATATGTGATGTTTTATGGTGCTATTACGTTGTTATTAAGCTTATTTACGCATTATTTATGTATCATAGTATTATAATAGTTGTAATTGCTATAAAATGTATAAAAAAATTGTGTGAATATAACAAGTGATAAGTTAAATAATTCTTTCATTTATTACCACAAAAACATGGTGATAATCATAAAAAAGAACTTATATTTCTCGATTCCACCTTTAAGATTTAGTCTCAGAAGTATACAGTTTGGAATTCCATTGACAAATTTTGGAGAAAATGATTAAAATGCGATTTAACTTTTCTCAAATTACTCTTTTCTAGTTTTAGCGCTAACATACGAAACATTTTTATAAAATAACGTAATCGTGTTTAATCGCTGTAAGATAATCCTAAGGCGCTCTATCGATTTGAATCTCTAGCGAGTGATTAGCACATAAGGGAAATAGATTGAATATCTAGATGTCTCCTTATTGGATTCGGTGCAAAAACGGGACAACTACGAAGCTGCCTCGTATTTGTATGACAATGATCAATTCATGTTTTAGCCGCTTCGCAACACCTGAAAATGTAGAAGACGTCGTTCGATAAAAAATCTTCTAAACTACATTAGAATCAAATATCCGTTAACAATTTCCACTTGCATAGGGACCGCGGGGGTGAACTACACACCAGTAGATTTTAATTACCCCTACTGCCCTTATTCGGTCGAAGATCCGAACCAAACTTTACACAAGTGATCTAGACACTAGGGTAAAACGCCAGTAATTGACCGTTGGTCAGTGTTTGACCGTTTTTGTAAAAAAATTTTAAAAATAAGGTTCCAAGGAATATCTAAAAAAATATAAATATATCCATAAATAGCCACCAGTCTCCTCTCCACCCCCTAGTACACAAAAAGTCCACGACCATACCCGTTCTTGAGTTTTTGTTGTTTAATTTCGCACTAACTGCCGGCCTATTCACATCGTGCTAAAAAGCGTAATTTTTATGTTTAGAAATTCGCCTAAACAGGGTAGTACTATTCAGCCGTTTTTGTATGTATGATGTTTTTTATTTATTTGCCAGTGATCTAATAATGTTTTCTATTGGTTATATTAAAAAAATACCGCTTTAATTAATTATTTGTTGAAATAAAGCCGGTCAATGACTGGTAGTTCTAAATTTAATTAAAAATTAGTGTTTGACCAAACGGTCAAATACTAGACGAATTGGTTGTTTTATAATCTCACAAGGATTTATATTTGATTAATAAAATGGAAAAATGTGTAATACCTGTTTTTAAAACTTATATCTTCCCGTTTAAGTTGTTTAGTATTTGACCAAAACTTTTATACTTTAAAAGTAAGATACAATCAGTTTAAATATGCGGTCAATTACTGGTTTCTCTTTTGGTCATTTATAGGACACAAACACTCAAAACTGAGTTTTTTTAACCGATTTTAAATTTTATAAATATTTAAGCGTAATATAAATATAAGTGTAAATGTTTGATTCTTTTCTATTTTTTTAAACCTTTTTTATAACAATAAAAGTAATTGACCGCACTTAAGCAGTAATGAATCTGTAAAATTAAAAGGATAGAAGGTTGGTCAAACGCTGACTCTTATAGTTTTCAATTATCAAACAATGGAAAATCTATATGGAAAATTTAGCAAATATGAATCAGGTTAACATTTTTTCAGTACCAATACACAGGAAAAAATGGTGTCGTGTAAAAATTTTAGAGTGGTTGGTAAAAAGAATTAGAGTAAAAATTGTAATATCACATGGTAAAAATAACTCTAATGTACACTATATTTAATATTCATATATTATTCACTTAATAGAGTAGTTTTTACAGTTCTCTAAAGGAGAGTTCTTTTTTACTTATGTTAGTGAAGTTATGTAATATATAAAACATTAAATTTTACACTAGACGTGTACTTTTCCTTCGGGTACTTCGTAGGCACCGCACTATTTTGCTCGGGATTACTCGTCGGTACCACGTGATCAACATGTGGTGTGATACAGCTAAAATTTAACGGTTATCTACTAAACGAGTCGGAACTCGATAGCGTCTCGAGACCTGATTTACGCGATATAGAAAGAAAGAACGATTATTCTTATTTTAATTATGTTTGCCAAAATAAAACATTCATGATGTGAAATTAGTGGAACTTCCGGAGGATTTTAAATACAAGTTCCTTGTGAAGATTGGTAAAAATGTGCAACTTGGTGCAACTATACATATGAAACTTATAGAAGACTCATTAGGTGCAGTTTTGATGGTGACTCGGTGGAAACTTTAAAATGAATTAAGTATTATATATGTTATATGTATATAAACAGAATTTAATTTTTTTAAATTTAAGTTATAACAATATATTACAAGTAAAAATAAAAACAAATATTTTATAATTTTGATTTTTATTACAAACGTAAAACTTCCCTAAAAATACTCCACTTCCTATTAAAAATTAACACTAATAAGTGTAAGATACACACTATTTAGTGATATTTTGTCACTTAATAGAGTAAAATTAGAGCGAATTTTTAATAATTTACACTGATTAGATTAGAAATGTATCTAATTAGAGTCACGACAACATCTAGTTAGATTACATATAATACACTGTTATAGAGTAACGATTTTACACTATTGAATAAACACCATCTTTCACTATTTAGTGTAAAATTTTAATCTATTCACTTACACTATATAGTGCAAAAAAATAACTCTAAATATATTGGACCGATCTGAACTATGTTTTAGAGTTGATTTTTACTCTATATTTTTTCCTGTGTACCCACCAGTAGATTTTAATTACCCCTACTGCCCTTATTCGGGCGAAGATCCGAACCAAACTTTACACAAGTGATCTAGACTACGTTAGAATCAAATATCCGTTAACAATTTCCACTTGCATAGGGGGGGTGAACTACCCACCAGTAGATTTTAATTACCCCTACCGCCCTTAAAACTTTACACAAGTGATCTAGACTACGTTAGAATCAAATATCCGTTAACAATTTCCACTTGCATAGGGACCGCGGGGGTGAACTACCCACCAGTTGATTTTGATTACCCCTACTGCCCTTATTCGGTCGAAGATCCGAACCAAACTTTACACAAGTGATCTAGACACTACATTAGAATCAAATATCCGTTAACAATTTTCACTTGCATAGGGACCGCGGGGGTGAACTACCCACCAATAGATTTTAATTACCCCTACCGCCCTTATTCGGGCGAAGATTCGAACCAAACTTTACACAAGTGATCTAGACTACGTTAGAATCAAATATCCGTTAACAATTTCCACTTGCATAGGGACCGCGGGGGTGAACTACCCACCAGTAGATTTTAATTACCCCTACCGCCCTTATTCGGGCGAAGATCCGAACCAAACTTTACACAAGTGATCTAGACTACCTTAGAATCAAATATCCGTTGACAATTTTAAGACATTCTAAAATAATTTAAAAAAAAATTAATATTATTATGAGTCATCTGAATTATTGGGATCATTACATTTGAGATAAACTTGTTTTCTAATCAGATGCTTTTTGCACATAAATTCATAGCACTCATCACATTTTTTTGTTGTATAATTATTTTTAGCCCTACCACATAATTGGCATCGTTCTCTGATTTTTCTTGAATGTGGATCTGTTTGCTGCGATGTCGATGGAGTGTCTATATCTGTTGGTTCTTGGAGCTTTCCCTTTTGGGTTTTAACTACCCTGTTGGTTCAGGGTAGTTATTTGGCTTCTTTCAATCAAAAATCCGTTCATCTTCAATGCCAAATTTTTTAGAAAATCTTTTCTAAATTGCGGCTTTGCTTTTGTTTTGTCGCTGAAACTGTACAAAATGTGGGCATTTATTCCTGCCATATTTATTGTTGAAAAAAGAGGATTCAAATTCGAATTTATTTAGTATAAATGTTAACAATATTTATATAAATACGTCAGCAGTCTTAACTTTAGTACTTAACAAAAAAATCATCGAACATCCCGTTGTTTACAGAACAAAAACATTAACATTAACCACCAAAGTCACGCAAGTGTATGGTGTCGCACAAATAGTCAGAGTACGAATAGTAGGCCTTCCGAATTAAAAAAGTTTTAATTTTATTCTTGAACAGTTCAGGAGGCAACCGAGCAATGTCGTTCGGTATTTTGTTATAGAATTTTACTCAAAGAAATTTAAAATGGCACTGACTTCGACCTAGTCTACAAAAGGTCGGTCTCAGTTGGGTACCGTTTCTAGTCCGATATTTATGTAAAGTGTCATGACTAATAAAGTCGTCGAGATTTCGCCTTACAAATATTACACATTCCAAAATGTACAATGACGGAAAGGTCAGTATATTATGGTTTGTAAAGGACCTACGGCAATCATCCATGTATGTTAGCGAGTTTATTATGTCACGAACCTCAACAAATGTTGCTTGATCAATGGAAAACCCACAATCAGCAACATTAATTTTTTGCAAAAGGCAATCAAACTTATCATTTATGTTGGACTTTTTTAAGCCATTTAGTAGTTCAAGAGGTACCTTAATAAAGTAATCATTAACATCATTTGGATCGAATTTGGCTTTAATTTTGTCTATTTTGTTGGCGCGTTTTTTATTAATTATTTCCCATATAATTTTACCCGAAAGGATAAAGTCGACCTCCTGGTTTTTCTAGTTACTATATAGTTTTGACACATTTGACCATTTGTGTCAACGTCCCCCTTCGTATTGATAATTTAAATCTACCGGTGGGTAGTTTACCCCCGCTGTCCCTATGCAAGTGGAAATTGTTAACGAATATTTGATTCTAATGTAGTTTAGAAGATTTGTGTAAAGTTTGGTTCGGATCTTCGACCGAATAAGGGCGGTAGGGGTAATTAAAATCTACTGGTGGGTAGTTCACCCCCGCGGTCCCTATGCAAGTGGAAATTGTTAACGGATATTTGATTCTAAGGTAGTCTAGATCACTTGTGTAAAGTTTGGTTCGGATCTTTGACCGAATAAGGGCGGTAGAGCAAATTATAATCTACTGCGGGGTAGTTCACCCCCGCGGACCATTTGCAAATGGAATTTCTTTCGATAAATATATTTCTTATCATGTCTAGAAGGCGTATATAAAGTTTGGTGCCGATCTTCGAACCAATAAGGGAGCTGGAGCCAGTCATTTTAATTAAAATTGCTGATTGTACCTAGATATTAGTGATAAATATATTAATTACTTTTAATATACTGTAATTAACTTCTTAAGTTTATAATGTAATGTTTTTTTGTTCGAAAAAATTGAGCCCCCGTATGTCCGGTATTACGGACGTCTATGGGCGTTCGGGTATCATCGGAAAGTTTTACTGCTATCTTTTACTGCTGTCTTCACACCGATGTTCGATAATGTGAACTGACGACGGTTGTTAACCGTTAACCATCTTCACTTCATGTTTTTATTCAGTGCATTTTGTGAAATTTAGAGAAATTGTTGAATCATCCTACCATTGAGGCAGCATCGAAAAATGCAAAAATTGTGCTGTCATCTGATTGATACAATGTTGTACGTCTCGCAAAAAAAAAGAGGTGAACCGTATAAAGTTCACGGATTTTAAAGATTTTAAGGAACTAAAACACTCAGCAATGCCAAATTGCCATATCACTCTCCAAACAAAGCGAGAGAGATTAAATAAAAATATAAACTTGCTTTTGATTTTAGACTTTAAACTTTTAATTATTATTCTAAATTAATTAAAAAGTATTATACTTTTTCAATGATTTTATTGTTTAAGATTATTTTTGGATGACTTACCCATATATGCTCTAGAATTGGAAATTGTTCTCATATGCCCTCTAGCCCTCATCACAGATACTGTCAACATAAGAGATGGGCGTATGAACCGGAAGTGATCGTTGCTCTTGCCCCAGGCATCATTATTATTACTATTATTTTATCGTTTCCTGTAAAATTTGCATTTTGGCTCATACGTCCCTATGTTATGAATCCCTCGATATTATCTAGTTCAATAAATCTATAAATAAATATTTATAAGACTTTTTTTGATAATATTTAAATATGACTTCAATAATCCGCATGCTTCCATAATCTGAATTGGGCTGGTTCTAATTCGGATTAGCGAAGCTTTACTGTACAGGTGTCCCGTTAAGCGTACGGAGCGGCTGTATCTCTAGAACGGTAAAGCCTAGAGGTTTGGGAAAAAAATCCTTATAAGCAAAGTGACCAAGAGAAATAGCTGGAAATTATACTAAGGTTAACTTTATGTTAACTGTCATTGAAAAACATAAAGTTCCCGCTATCTCAGAAANAGGGCGGTAGAGTAAATTATAATCTACTGCGGGGTAGTTCACCCCCGCGGACCCTTTGCAAGCGGAATTTCTTTCGATAAATATACTTCTTATCATGCCTAGAAGGCGTATATAAAGTTTAGTTCGGATCTTCGAACCAATACGGAAGCTGGAGCCAGTTATTTTAATTAAAATTGCTGATTGTACCTTGATATTAGTGATAAATATATTTTAATTTTGTCTAATTACTTTTAATATACTGTAATTAAGTTCTTAAGTTGATAATGTAATGTTTCTTTGTTTGAAAAAATTGGGCCCCCGTGTGTCCGGTATTACGGACGTCTATGGGCGTTCGGGTATCATCGGAAATTTTTACTGCTATCTTTTACTGCTGTCTTCACAGCGGTAGAATTTACGCTTTTTCTTGCATTTTTTTTTATAAATCCCAAACCAATTGTTCAATTTGGATATAAATAGTATAGCTCAAGTTCCTTACATTTCTTTATCAACTCTAACTAGTTTTTCATTACCTTGGAGGTGTAACCTTTAATTTTTTTGTAAAAGATGATGTCGCAAGAAGATGAAAGCTATTACAGTACTCTTGGGTCATTAATTTTTCTAGGTATCAATGTGACAATTTTTGTCTATGGATGTTTAAACATGTTCTTGACATCGAATACAAGATCCACAATATTTTGGGAGGTGCACATGAAACATTTTTTTCAGGTGAATACATTTTGTTTTGACAATTTCTAATTGTCAATTCAAATTTCTATGTAAGTATACGCGAATTACAAATAATAGCATAAGAAACACGTTTCATAAGAATTAAAGCACTCATTCATTAAAAAACTGATGGCAAATAAAAAAATTGTCGATTTTTAAGCAACATGATGATTCTTGAATTATACCGTTTAAAGTTATGCATACCTGATTTAATAAATATAGTATTTTTGTTAATATATGTGTACATTTTCGCGGATTAACCGGAGTTTCGTTGAAAGTTCGTGCTTCTTGTAAAACGGTGGTCTTTTCAATGTTTTGAAACGGATTGCCTCCACCTAAAATTATTTAAACGTTTATTCATTACTGCGATTAATTAATAATTTATTTACCATCCTCCTCTTCTTTCTTTTCGCGTTTAAACGAGCTCATTTCTAATAATTATTACGAAAATATCGGCAACGTCAACAAAACCGTGGAAGGCGAACTGTTTTTGACAGTATTTTGACACGTCAATATTATTGGTTCTGCCAACGTTGCGAAATTGAAAAGCTCTAAATGACAACGCCGTTTGAAAAATTATAAGTCATTTCATAAATTATTTTTATTAACAGAAAATAATTGAATTTGGGTTGATTTTGAAAATTGATTATCAGTTTCGATGATAATAGAAAGATGGTTTTCGTTTAAGAGGCGTTGATAGGAAAATTTTGTGACAACATAGAAAAATTAAAAGTAACTGTCGTCGGATCAGTGTGTTAAAATTCAACTCGTCGTTCAGAATGTCAGTGAGCGAAGAAAAGTCGAGCATGTCAAGATTACTTAAATTGGCACATAAATTTAATTGTTTTTACTTGTCAGGCAAGTGGAAGTCGTATAGATAATCTACGTAAAGTCGTTGACGGTCGTTTCATTTAGAAATCAGTGAAATTATCGTCATGGATGTCGAATTATGGGCTTATATTGATCATATGCACTAACCCGCCCATAAGGCGACACTCTATTGGTATAATTTTATTTCTTTTAATTTGAACTAATTTTTTTTTAGGATTAACCACCGGAGACTGCAAACCTTTTATTGTTGAGGGCTTCCAGGTGGGACTAATTAGACATGATGTCATGCAGGAATTATTATCCTATCCTGAGGTAAGTCCAAAATAAGAACATTTATGGTTAGGAAATGTGGAATTAGTTAAGTTGTTTTGATGTGAAAGATGTAAATATCAATAACTTTCATTTTCTCGAGGGAATTATAAACATCGATAAGTAAATTACATAAGAATATTATCAAATTAAGATATTTTTATTCTTTAAAACACCAATTCTTGTGTAATGTGTAAATTGAAAAATGACTTTTATGTAGATTTAAAACATAATTTATATTGTTTTATTCCAAGTAGATTTATCAACTTTTTCTATGAAAAATATCAATTGCTGCTTTGATTAAGCATGAGATATTGATGTTTTTAAATAAGTATAGATTATGTGTTATTGTGTAGACTATTTTGTAGATGAATTAGCGTGATAAGAACTATCATTAGTATTTGATTTATCGTTAGATTCATTGGACTTTAAGTTAGAAAAAAAATCATTCTTTATGTCTGTTTAAACTTCAAATTTCCCCATTTATAAATAGATATCAGAGTTTATTTTAATGCTAAATTAGATGTTTTGCCAAATTCATTTATTTTTATTTAATAATTATACATTAATCAATAATTAACATATACTATAATTTATGTTTTGTAATCAATCTTTCTATTTAGGTTAAAACATAATAAAACTATGTGTATTTTTTATTAGATGGATGGTTATTTATTTTTGGCTCTACTGGTTTCAAATACATAAAAAAAATACATAAGTTTGTGAGGGACAAACCAACAACACAAAGACCTTTGAAAGAAAAGAAATATCTTTTTAAAAATATACAATCCTGATGTGGCATGCTCCTGAAGATGAATGTAAAAAAAATTCGAAACGGGTAGAGCCAAAAATAAATAACCATCCATCTAATAAAAAATACACATAGTTTTATTATTTTTTAATCTATTTTTTTAATTCGTATGAGTAAAATGAAAAGTCACGTTTACACACTGTAATTTTTCAAAGTTATTTTTTGGCGGGAGTTTTAACGCGTGTGAAGTTGGCCATAGATTTCAGCCATAGATTTTAAACTGAAAAAAGAAAATTTTCCTAACCATTTCTTATTTTCCGGGAAAATCGATTTTCTTCAAACTTTCGCAAAATTCGGCTCGTTCGGGGTTTTTAATGGATCTAATTTCAACGGTATCGTATTCCTGGTGGCCTCTTGCTTCAGATTCGAAAAGAAAATTTTCCTAACCATTTCTTAATTTTCGGGAAAATCGTTTTTCTTCAAACTTTCGCAAAATTCGGCTCGTTCGGGGTTTTTAATCGATCTAATTTCAACGGCATCATATTCCTGGTCGCCTCTTGCTTTAAATTGGAACAGAAAATGTTCCTAATCATTTCCTATTTTCCGGAAAAACCGATTTTCTTCAAACATTTACAAATTTCGGCTTGTTCGGGGTTTCTAATTGATCTAATTTCAACGGCATCATATTCCTGGTGTCCTTTTGCTTCAGATTCAAAAAGAAAATTTTCCTAACCATTTCTTATATTCCGGGAAAATCCTTTATCTTCAAACAATCGCAAATTTCGGCCTGTTCGGGGTGTCTAATCGATCTAATTTCAACGGCATCGTATTCCTGGTGCCTTTTTACTTCAGATTCAAAAAGAAAATTTTCCTAACCATTTTTTATATTCCTGGAAAATCGTTTTTCTTCAAACAATTGCAAATTTTGGCCTGTTCGGAGCTTCTAATCGATCTAATTTCAACGGTATCTTATTCCTGGTGGCCTTTTGCTTCAGATGCAAAAAGAAAATGTTCCTAACCATTTCCTATTTTCCGGAAAAACCGATTTTCTTCAAACATTCGCAAATTTCGGCCTGTTCGGGGTTTCTAATCGATTTCATTTCAACGGCATCGTATTCCTGGTCGCCTATTGCTTCAGATTCGAAAATAAAATTTTTCTAACCATTTCCTATATTCCGGGACTTTTATTCGTTGTCTAAGAAGCCTACCTTTGTCGGGAACTAAGTCTCACAGCTTCTTAACTTGCGCCCCGCAGAATCTCCATAACCGAAGTACACTTAGGCATGTTTACCTATTTTGACGAATCCCAACTATGGCACGAAAACCTCGGGACGTTTACCTACCTGTCGCGCTGATATATTATTACTGCACCGATTCGAAAGATAGATTAATACCATTTGATTTCAAAGGCAAGAATGTTTACTTTAGGTATGTAATATTATGCAACAATGAAACATACGATTGAAATTTATATATACATAATATTTATTTACATTCACACAATTCACATATATTTATGTATTTATCATTATTTACGCAAACGTTACAACAATATCTATGGCATAATTGACAATAAACATCATTTGCTGCTTCGCCACAGTATAATCAAAGCTTCGAAATATTGTCAGAATTTTGAGATATATAATTTTTTATTTGTAGTTTATATTTATCTGGATTAATTTCTTCCCATTCTAACTCGTTTATTAAAACGTCGCAATAATGAATGACATAAACACCACAATTCGAAGTTTGAAGAAAAACGATTTTCCAGGAATATAAGAAATGGTTAGGAAAATTTTCTTTTTGAATCTGAAGTAAAAGGGCACCAAGAATACGATGCCGTTGAAATCAGATCGATTAGACACCCCGAATAGGCCGAAATTTGCGATTGTTTGAAGAAAAACGATTTTCCCGGAATATAAGAAATGGTTAGGAAAATTTTCTTTTCGAATCTGAAGCAAGAGGCCACCAGGAATACAATGCCGTTGAAATTAGATCGATTAGACACCCCGAATAGGCCGAAATTTGCGATTGTTTGAAGAAAAACGATTTTCCCGGAATATAAGAAATGGTTAGGAAAATTTTCTTTTCGAATCTGAAGCAAGAGGCCACCAGGAATACAATGCCGTTGAAATTAGATCGATTAAAAACCCCGAACGAGCCGAATTTTGCGAAAGTTTGAAGAAAATCGATTTTCCCGGAAAATAATAAATTGTTAGGAAAATTTTCTTTTCGAATCTGAAACAAGAGGCGACCATGAATACGATGCCGTTGAAATTACACTGTTGGACATAATTCACGAGCACACCTTATATAATCTGAACGCGTGAAGATAAATCCATGATATTTGCGGAGCACAAAGGTTTACTGTAGACGAGTTTATTCATCGAGTTTCGAGTTGACTGAGCCGCTCTTCCAAGTGGAACATTCCGTCGCTATGGAGACCGAAGTGGATGGAAAATACCGGTCGTTTTTAGTGTGGTGTGAGGAACCACATTGTTATCGTACTCTGTGCGCAATGGATGGGCGATCGCGTTACTTAAGCGAGGAATGTTTGAGGGTATGCACATTGAGGGTGTATCGTTCTGTGAAATTGCGCGTTGTCTCGAGCGGTCGTTATCGGCAGTGCAACGGGCATGGCGAGAATGGTCTGAGGTAGGACATAGGCCCTGCGCGACCCCAGCACACGAGGATCGCACTCTTGTGCTCAGCGCTTTAGCGTCGTGTGCGTCCTCCTCAAGGCAACTTGGAGCTGTTTGGCCACCGGTAGGAGAAGGCGCACTCACTAAGCGAACTGTATGGCGGCGTTTGGTAGATAGTGGACTGCGCGCGCGTCGTGCGATACAGCGGATTCCAGTAACACCCGAGCACCGTAGCATACGTCACGAGTGGGTCGCCGCTAGGCATTAGTAGGTTGCCGAGTAGATGGACATTTTGTTTTCCGACGAATCAAGATTTGAATTGAGCACCGATGATGCGCGAATTTTAGTTCGTCGGAGACGTGGTGATCGTCTACTCGAGCAGTGCGTGCAAGAATGCCCTATCCACCGACAACCGAGCATTATGGTATGGGGTGCTATTGCACATGGTGGACGTACACGTCTGCTGCGTGTATAGCAGACCATGACGGGTCAACGATACGTAGATGAGGTGCTACGGTCCGTTGTGCTTCCCTACGTTCGGCGGCGCCCAGGGCTGCTATACATGCACGACAACGTCCGAACGCACATCGGGCGTATTGTACAGACCTTTGTGGAAGAGCACCGTATACGAATGCTTCCTAGGCCAGCTCGTTTTTCGGATCTGAATCCAATCGAACATGTTTGGGACATGACTGGTCGGAGACTTCTACGTTATCCGGCTTCCTCGGCTAACGTTGGGGAGCTATGGAGGCGGGTTGAGGTGGCATGGTTGGCCATCCCTCTTGCTACAATACAGCGACTTATAGACTCCATGCCACGTCGTGTAGCGATGGTACGCGAAGCTCACGGGGGATACTCTCGCTATTGATGTTTCATCTCCCAGCAGAGTTGTGCCGTTCTCCATGTGAGAATAAGTTACACTACTTTAGTACTACTTCCATACCAAATTTTATTGCGCTAGACACACGCGTTCAGATTATACAGGGTGTGCTCGTGAATTATTTCCAATAGTGTAGATCGATTGAATACCCCGATCACGCATTTTTTTCAGTTTAAAATCTATGGCCAACTTCAGACGCGTGGAGTTTTAAGAGAGGATTTTAAGTAAACTGTAGTTACGAATTTAATTACTTATTTGTTTAAACATAATAAAAACCAGTAGACAGAGAGCTGGCTACATAGGGGTACGGGTGACTTGGTGCAGTGTGAATTTTAGCATTTACAGGTTCGGTTATTACAGACGTAGCGTGAGACGGGCCGCCAGAAGAATAACGCGAGGGTAGAGGCTTAAATATACATTTTTTTTCGTTAACTAAGTCAGGTAAGGTGCAGTGCTGAAAATTTGCAGAATAATCGGAGGTTACACAAATAAGTAGAGAAAAAATTGCCAAAAGACTACTATCCGTGCAAGAAGTCAAGGCCCCTCACTTTAGAGATCGATATCTTCGTAACCGCTCGATGGAAAAAATTGCGGTAAAGTTTATTGAAATCAGTGAATATTTCTACGTAACATATGTTATGTAATTTGATTGTTAATTTGAAATTTTCGGATTCACGGTTTTCTTTTTATCGCGAGTTAAATGAAAAAAGTACCCGATTTTTGAGAGTGC